ATAACGGCTCAACTGGGGTGATCCAACAGCTTAATAAAGAACCTGTACTAAGCAATTCTTTGCTAAACCCCCAAAAGCGGATAAGAGGGGATTGAAAGACCCGCAACATACTTGTGACTCTTGATTCGTAGTTATCCATAAGCTGCGCTTACTAATGTTAGTGTTACTAATTACTATTCTCTGAAAATCACAGTAACTCTTAGATCAAATACGACATATTAAAATCACGTTTCACGAATTTAATTTTTAATTAATTTCATCATCATAATCAGCCTATCGCAGTCCACTGCTGTACCTTTCCAATTGCACACCCCTTAGATCGACCCTTGGCTTTTCGCATCTAGCTCCTCCCTGCCAAAATTACATGACTACATTTAATATGACATATGTAAGATTATCCATTAAATTATTAACTTCAAATAAATTCCAAATTAAGTAGATTTTTCGCTGTGAATGAAGTGATAAATCTAAGCTTTAGGCAACAACTGCAAAAATATTACATTTATTGTCGTTTTTTTTTCGATTTTTACGTAAAATAAAGCATTGGAATAACATGACGTTTAGAATAAAAATAGTTTATGAGCTGGTCAAATATTCAGCTCTTAAGGGTAGCTATTTAGCATATATTGGGCCTAGGATTTTGCTCAAAGTTGGTAATAAACTTTCTTAGATCGTGGAATAACACCGGCTCAATCGTGTGCGTCTAACGCTATGATGGGATCAATGGCACATTTTGGTTTCACTTATCCCAGCAGTAAATCTTGGAGCACAGAGATTTCGGGAACAAAAGAGGGATAATAAGATGAGGACTGACATCAAATCAATCAGAGCTATTTGACCGAGGAAGTATCTATGAGAAAGAAAGCTTATGTAGATAGCTGAAGCGAATAAAGGATTTGTAATATTATAATAAAATGGCAGATTTTTAAAAAAGCGTATTTAACCAGCTATAACCCGAAAGGTGGGTTAGTTTAATAGTGAGCTGTTCGTTTGCTTGTTAACCCAATAGAAAACCTGCCAAAATTATGTACGTATATTACTAGCTGACCCGTGCAACTTCGGCTGTCTTTCAAAAGAAATAAATTTTCCCCGTTTTGCAAAAAATTCATTGATGCTCAGCTTGATCGAAGCGTAATGTAATAGGGGTTCATCAATAAATGGACTCATCATCATCATCATCAACAGCCTATAACAGTCTACTGCTGGACATAGGCCTCTCCTTAGAAAGGAGGTTTTGGCCTACTATACTATGGTGGCCAGACGGGTTGATGTATGGTTTGTTTAGTTTTCTCTTATAGTTTTCTCTCTCAATAAAACCTCGACCCAAATTAATGCAATGTTACTTAAGTAAACAACGGAAATTCATATTTAGGTCAAATGTTTACTGGTCCCAGTGAAGAAGACCGTGATATCCGTCACGTAATTTCCAGGATCTATAAGATTCATTCGTTGTTGTTTTAGTTTTCCTGATAATCATGGTTTTATTGTTTCATTATGGTAAAGGGATAAACACGCAGACAGGTCACCCGATGGTAAGTGACTACCGTCAGGTTGGACCGCCACTTATGGACACATGCAACTCAAGAGATACAAATACGTTGCCGCCCTTTGAGCGCATTTTTTACCAGAATCAGGGTGAGAGGGATTTGACCTCCGGTAACCTCACTCACTCGGTGAAAAGCAACGAAAAACTGCTTAACACCGGTTTTCTATGAGGCCGTGGTATCACTCCGGACGAGCCGACCCATTTATGCCGAACCTGGGAGGGCCAGCTTAACCATGGGAGGGTCATCCTACGGTTAAGCTAGCGGCCCTGTTGCTCTAAAGGTTAGTGACCCTGACTGCTAATCCGAAGATCGCAGGTTAGATTTCCACCCAGAACAAGTAATTGTGTGATGTGCACGTTATTTTTTTGTGTCTGGCTGTAATTTATCTATAATATGTATATATTTAGAAATATTTGAGTATGTTAATCAGCAGTCTGGTTACTATAGCATAGGTTCTCAGGTTCAGGGCAACACCTGCGAATTCGTCAGCGCCTGGGAATTGCGACCCAGGCATAGGTTTAGGGAGTAGTCCTTGCGACGCGTCAGCGCTCACCTCCACTGTCTGCTGCTCCAATGTTTGAATATGTAATAATATTATGTAAGAAATACATTTATATTTAATTACATATGTTTATGCAGGTACTTTACCTTTTAAACCTACCTACCTGCTGGTGTAGTTGTTAGGGACCCTGAACACTAAATCGGAGGTCGTGGGTTCGATTCCCACCCAGGTTAAATATTGTGTGATGAGCACGGTCATTTGTTCTGTGTCTGGATGTAATTTATCTATAATATGTACGTATTTAGAAATATTTAAGTATGTTTATCAGCAGTCTGGTTACCATAGTACAGGCTCTGCCTAGTTCGGGATCAAAAGGGCGTGTGTGAGATGTGCGAGATATATTATAATTATTTAATTGATTTTACATGGGTGTATCGTTTAAGTATGTTGAGTAAAACATACAACCAATGCTAAAAGTGCTAAAATATCACTAAATTGTTTGGGGCACCTCATCATTATGCTAGTTCCAGACAATTGACCGAATAACACCGCTAACCTTTGTCATCGCCAAATCGCTGCTCAGCAGTTTAGATTCTAGTTTTGTCTAGTTTCGACAGAGGCAATTAATTGCTCGAATTTATAGGGATTATGAACTAAATGGCTCTTAAATTTTGGTTTCAATTAGCGCAATAATGTAACCGAACCAACCAGGTGAATTAATCTTTAACAGTGGCCATTAGTAATCGAAATTCTATTTAACATTACCATTCAGATTACAGAGCCGATTTAAACTCCCACATTTTGCCGACTCAAATTTTTTGCCATATTTACTTATATTTTTAAATAAACATACCTATGTGCTCCTGATCCAAAGATCACCAGGGAACAAATGGTCCACAATTGTCACTAATTGGTACCCTATTCACAAGAAAAGACGGAAAGGAAGGCCATTCAAAAGATGGAGTGATGACATAGTTTCCACGGTGGGAAATACCTGGAGCAGACTGGCAAGAGACAGAGCGAAATGGAAGGAAATGGAGGAGGCTCTCACCGCCAAAGCGGTCCTTACACAAAAAAAAACACGTTAACGCAGTTTAATAACATATACTAACAAACTAGAATAAGTATAATACTAACACTACAAATAATATTTAGAACCAATGTAAACTATGTGTAAGGAATAAAATAAAGCTTTATTAATATTATTATTATGTGCCCCTGAAACTTCCTGCGAATCTTTTTTCCCAAACTAGGTTGGGGATAAGACTGAACTTTTTTACGCTGAGCGAGACCTCCACATGCATATTACTAGGCGAGTTCTGTAGAAGATTGTTTTCGGACATTTTAGGACCCAAACTACTCGTAACTATTGCCACAGATATTCGTATGGCAACCGGAACCAACGGCTTAACGTGATCTAGAGGCACGGAGCCATTTATGTATTCCTAAATAATCTATACTTATTATATTATAAATTTGGGTTTGTTTGTTACTCCTTCACGCATAAACCACTTAACCGATTTGAAAAACTTCACCAATGGAAAGCTACATTATAGATAAAGAACAAATAATCGTGCTTATAACACTATACCTCTCCTGGGTGGGAATGAAACCCACTTCTATTTTATATTATTTAAATATATTTTCTCCTTTTTATTGCGATTCGTCATTAAGTGAGACAACAGGTGTTCTTATCGCTAACGGCGATCTCTTACAGACAACCTTTATACAGATATTGTCAAATTTAAATTAGTGTAGCCTGCGATGTTCATTTACAATATATTCACAATAATATTTAATGAAAAATAAATAAAATAAAGTAACTACATACATTTACAGTAAACATACTACTAACACAATTAAATATATATTTACATAATATACACAAACCCCTCTGTAATGTCAAGTACTGATTTGTAACTTGTTTTTTAAATGTTTGCAAGGACTTAGCTTGTCTAATCCCGTCAGGTAAGTTACCCCGAGACGGCGTGCGGTTTTAGTCGTATACGAGGTAGTATCGTAGTTTAGTTTCGAATCCAACATGCCACCGATAGGTGGTATCCGAGGGGATTTCCGCACGAAAAAAAAAAGGAGTACCTTAATCCGTTATTTTTGATCTTTTTTTTCCAGCGTCAATGAGTCAGTCTATAAAAAATATTTTCGAATTATTTGTGTACATAACGTCTTTGAACATAGCCTATATATATGCATATATATATTATTAATTTATGAATATTTGTGGTCCATATAAAGGTCACGCAGACAGCGAACTGTCTGCTCCATCCCCTTACACTCGACGTCGGTTAAGTCCTCATGTGACATGGGTCCAGTTGTCATCTACAGAGTATACCATTTCGTTAACAGATTTTAATTGGATTTCTGAAGATAAAGGAACTCTAATTATAAGCTTTGCTAAATTTAAAATGCAGGTTCTGATCTTTTTTGTATTTAACACCGTTTGGAATGAAGAAATTCTATTCGAAATTCAATAACTTTTCAATGATGACTGATCTGTCATCATCATCAAAAGTGGGAGGTAGAATAGAAAATTTGGTGAATGATATTTATATTTATTCAAGACATACATTATACTCACGTGTGTAGAAACAGGAAATTTTGCTCGTTGAGAAAGGAATACGAAATACTTGGTCATATTTGATTGCACGGATGTCATGTTGCAGGTTTAGGCGGTCACCTCGCCACTTCCTACTGCGGTGACTTCCGTGGGTTCGATCCACATATTGTTGTTCTGAGTCGGGGTGTTCTTTGTGTCCGTTTCAATAATATTGTTAAGTCACCCCAGACACAGTTTTTTTTAAAATAAAACTTGTTTGCCATAAATGTCGCAGTTTGGTACAGGTTTCCTACTAAATACTTATGTTATTGAAAATATTATTAAATAAACTACAAACATTTAAGAAGATTCAGTTGTGTATCCAATATTTTTTAATATGTATATAGTTAGCAGATTAGTTGGGAAACAAACGCCTATTGCCTTTTATTCCAACAAACCTCATGGAAAAGCCGATGAAGACACTGAACTCTTACAAACGCCTATTGCCTTTTATTCCAACAAACCTCATGGAAAAGCCGATGAAGACACTGAACTCTTACAAACGCCTATTGCCTTTTATTCCAACAAACCTCATGGAAAAGCCGATGAAGATACTGAACTCTTGAACGATACAGGAACATATTTGTATATAAAGAATTGAAATGGAAAATAGACGCATACTTTTCATTCCAGACGTTGAGAAAAGAGCTGCCGAAGCGCTTGGTTCAACTTTTTTCTGGACTTTGAAAGTACCTACCTCTGTCTGGGTCTATTAAAAGTTACGTCAATTAATTAAAATAGAGATTTAGACTCAACAATATTCTTTGTAAAGTTTGCGCGTTTTATTTAATCAAGCGATCATCATAACATATTATAAATCCCATACAAGTTAAGGGTAAAAAAGAAAAAAATGAGTACTTTTCATCCATAAAAAGGCGGTTAAGTCCTATTTTAACCTTTAAAATAATGATAAAAGTAACATTACAGCGAGCGAAACAGGGGACAAAAATTGGAAGATAGGTTGATCACATTCTTTAGATAAACCAAAAAAACTTTAGAACGGTTGCAGTACTACTTACATTGTCCAATAATGAACGCAAATCATCTAGAAACCCACTTCAATAAACAAAAAGATCATCAATATTTATTCAGTGGCGGATATGTAGGTTCAGTAAAGTACACACTTACGAAAGACAAAAAAACTTTTTATCCTAACAGTCTCAAGTCTCAATCAGTTTTTCTATTGTCAACTGTCATTCTCAGAGTAGATTACACGAAATAAAATGTAAAATTTTATGTGACAATAAACCGCTTTAACCATTACGAAGAATGTAACTTACTAATAAAGAATCATGGGCACTAAAGCAATAAGAAACAAAGGAACGACCGACTCAGTTTGACAAGAGTGACGTTATGACAGCTCTGAATTATTGACATCGTAAGTCAATAAACACATATTTTAAAGGTTATAAAAGGAAGGCGGGAAATGGTTGGTCTTGTTGGTCTCAGCATTATTTTTATTTTTAGCAAGTGTGTGTAATAAAATTAAGCTAACCTATTAACTTAGGTAATATGGTCATTAACTAAAAAACGGTATGTTTTTTGACAGCATCATCATCATCATCAACAGACTTTAAAGAAAGGAGGTTTTAGCCAACTATACCACGCGGGGCAGACGAGTTGGCGTAAGGTTTATTTCAAGTTTTTCTTCTTTTTGCAGTGCGGTTGTCCTACGTAGTTTGCTTCCTTAGTAGGCTCTTACGACACCCACGGGCTGAATAGGGTCGGTGACACTCCAAATTCTTAATTCGTCATCGCAAGGACAGCGCTCGTATTTGAATGTGTTAATAAGTCTATTTTGGTTGCGCTTAGCAAGTTAAGTTTTTATAGCATCTAATACTAGGAATTTCTATGCCGAATGTTGCTCATATTAGCATTTTAGCAGAATTTTCTTAAAACAGATTTTTTGAGAAATAAATTCACAAATTTTATAAATTCGTTACTTAGCTGTAGACCACGATTTTGTTCATTTAAGTCGAATTTCCAAAACATATTACCCAAAACTTTCAAGCCAAATTCGACTCCTACTTTTCTAATTTTTTGCCAAATTATACATAGTAAAAGGGACTTATTATAAATTAAGGATTATAGTTATTTTTTTATGTTAGGGGGGGGGGGGGGGGCAGACGAGCAGACGGGTCACCTGACGGAAAGTGACTATCGCCGCCCATGAACGTCTGCAACTCAGGAGTCACAAACGCGTTATCTTTAATTTTAACAAGTGAACTTGAAACATATAATACAATTAAAAATAAAACAACAAATACTCAAAAATAGATAGGTGTTTCAGATCCGATAAAAAGACATTATTAGATAAATTATCTTTGTAAAAATCCTGTCTAATTTAGGAAAGGTCATCATTTCAGGGCTATTCATCATTATTAAGGTTTCAGCTAACAGTTACTTATTTAAAGGAGAATCTTAATTGGCTCTGTTAAAATGCTGGTATCTGTTTCACGAAGTAAAAGACGAATTCGAGATGATTAATGCTTGAAAGATATGATCATGACTTAATTTAAGAAGCGATAATTAAACAATGTCGATTTTTAGTTCACTATTTTATTATTAAAACGTTGGCAACAAACAATCTGATGATAAGTTATTATAGCGTATGGACGCTTGTAATTGCAGGCAACTCACCCGCTCGTTGCTAACTTTTTAGAAACATGTTCCATGTCCATTTCTTGGTGTCGGTGGTTCGAGGGTCTACATGGTGCAGTCTCTTGGAAAACATAAATTAACTTAATAAAATAATCAAGTGGACAAGTAATTGTGTGGCGAGCACTACCATTTGTTCTGTGTCTGTGTGTAATATATTTATAAAGTATATTTTTAGCTTAATTAAGAATTTGGCTGGATCATCATGAATTTGATTAGCCTTTTGGCCTAGAGTTAGTGACCCTGAATAATAAGCCGGAGGTCGTGGGATCGATTCGTATGTATTTATAAAATACAAGTCTGTTTATCAGCAGTTTGAAAACCTATCTATCTAACCTAAACCCCTCGTGCCGTCAGACCCACTAGGGTTAAATCAACACGATTTGCCACTCTGCGCCTCCTAAAAGAAGAAATTCGGGAACTGCTGTTATTAAGACATCCGGACCGATCCTTCGGGTACATTCTCTATCTAGGCGGCGCCGACGTCTGGCTCACACGATCATCCTCCCGGGCCCTCTCCACCACCTGGGTGTGCTGAGCCCAGTCCTCACTGCAATCGCAGTGGTGACAGGCGGGACGTGAAGTTATTAAGTGTTGATTATTATGGCTTTCTAAATTGGAATGAGATAGCCGTATATTTAAGATGAATAAGATAAGATAAAGTTTATTTACCCTTATAGATAAAGATTACTTAATATTATGGGTCAAAGTATAATCGGGGCATACTTGTCGGAGAGAGCTGTTGTCTATCCAAGTAGGACCGGCCTCGGTGGCGCGTGTTAGGGCCGCTCCTGTGGAACATTGGCTACGACTGGGTGCTTCGTAGTGCCTTCCTTGATGGTGTCGCCGTCACGTGTTATGCGGATGACATGCTAGCGGATCCGGCGGCTGGGTCTCGAGGTGGCTCTGCACAAATTCGAGGCCTTGGTCTTTCATGGGCCTCGGAGGAAGCCACCTGGCTGAGACTATTACTATGACTGGATTGAATGTAGTAGTAGGAGGCACTCACATCGGCGTCGAGCCCTCGGAGCTCCTATTTGATGGTCGATAGGACTTCGGACATCATTTCCGAGGTCTGGTTGGAGCAGCGCGTGCACTGCCACGCCGAGGCCGAGGGCCGGGCACGCCGTTATTGTAACCCTTTCATACCGCCGTCTCCTTCTGCAAGCTTGTTCTAGGGATTTCCTTTCTAGGGTACACCTGGTTCCCCAGCCACTGGGACCTGAAACGGCGTGCGGTTTATGGTCGTTATTACATTATTACAGTAATTGCTCAAGATCGTTGTGGGAGACTGGCATTTGCACTAGGGAACCCTGTCTCATAGATTACCAGGCCCCATAGTACCATGTCTGTATTTTACTTATGTCTAAATAACGAGAAAAAAAAACATCGTTGCCTATCGAAAACATTTATAGTTATTAGTTTTATTTTTATAAGTATGCGCGTCAGTGTGTGTGTGTGTGTATGTGTGGGTGTATAATTAATATGTCAAAAAAGTCTATCCAATTAAGAAATTTTGAAAAATTATTCTTAAACTTAAAACATATCTACGTCACAGATGTCACGTATTACGAGATTACCCTAATTCTAAATCCATGCAAAAACGTTTCTTATTAATCAAGATCTACACGACACACTTGCGGTCTTGAAGCTGCCAACCAAACAATTTAATTAAAACCTTAATTGCTGGTATTTATTAAGAGAATATAGTTTTGAAGATCGTACTTTTAAATATATTGTTTTTGTTACTCACAACAAGGCAGTCTAATATATCAATTATGTTGTTGTTTAATTAAACTGAGATAACGGTTTCATAGATACTTTACTTAAAACAGTGAAAAGAAATGTTCTTCTGAGAGTAAATTAGCTCAAAGTTATAAAATTACAGTACGGCGGTTGGTCTATAGTAAATATGAGACTTATTTATTTATAGTTAGTTGTTTTTGCCCGCGGCTCCGCACACGTGTAAGTCGCTTATCGCTGTAAAAGTACCCTATGTTACTTGCTGGTAATGTAGCTTTCCATTGGTGAAACAATTTTTGAAATCTGTTTAGTGATTTAGGCATAAAAGCAAAAAACAAAGATAAACTCATTTTCACATTCATAACAAACTATATTTTGCCTGCGGCGCCGCCAGTATAAAAAAGGTATAAAGTAGCCTATACTACTCGCTGTTTTTTTTTAAATTGTTATAGTCATTTAGTCTTGAAAGCGTAATACACAATGATACATACAAATAAACTCACTCTCACATTTTTATAATCATCATCCACAGCCTTTCATTTTCCTTAGAAAGGAGGTTTTGGCCTACTATACCACGCTGGCCAGACGAGTTGGTATAGGGTTTGTATCAAGTTATCCTTCTCTTGCTCCCCTAGTCGGCTCTTACGACATCCACGGGATAAATAAGGATGGTAACACTCATGGTGGTATTCTTAGTCCGTCACCTCATTAATACAATAATTTTTATATTATCAGTATGGACACACCAACAGTATATAGACTTTACAATATTTACAGAACATAATTATTATGTTTGACATTCACTAGCCTATTCACTAATTACAAGAGTGAAACAGGATTTTATAATAAAGCACTAGCAAGGAGTGATACAAAAAATATATATTACCAAAATTACCTAAGTTATTCATACTAACTAATTTTATATTAATTTCAATATTAAAAACTTTACTGATTAAAAATTAAACTTCATTGACTTACCTGATTAAATGAAATGAGACTCACATTAATAAAGATTAAAACAACCTAAGAAAATATTTTTCTTTAATCGGTTGGCGTAACTGATTTTAACAATTTCGCAAATCATTCGTAGACAAAATAAATAGGTATTCATTCAAATTACGAACCTACTTCTTACTTTTCGTAATGGTTTGAAAAGAAATCTTTTCAACTATATCTAATATCAGCATCGAAATTCGATTT